ATCCAGCACATAAATTATGGGCCGAATGATCTCTGCCTGCACTGTAAATTTCTGTTTCCATGATTATTGAAGATTGAGGGTAGTGGAGGGGCTGCTGAGTGTCAGTGACTGAGGGTGGGGGTGGGTGCAGGTCAGTTTTATCATTACCGCGGAGTTAGAGCAATTTTTACTCCCTCTAGTTTTATTTTGGCAACCATTCACATAAGGAACCCTCCGAAATCTAACTCAGAACTGAGAATTTTATTTAATAGATTCCATATGCAAAGTGCTTGCTCATTGGAGGCTTAAACTTCCCAGAGCATTAGACTAGGCCTCTTAATGATCAATCCAATGATGTTACCACTACACTGCCATCTCCCCAGCAATGCTCTGTCAGTGATAAGTGCTGTATTATTACATTTCTTGTGACTATCATCATTTTGCCTTTCTTTAAAGGTATTTATAGTGTTTACATAGTGAATTGCATGATTTGGGCACTTGTAAGTAAGAAAAAAATCTAAGAAATGATAAAAACAAATGTTATGGATATGATCATGCTTCTCCATTTTACATATGCTTTTCAAAAATAACTTAGTATAAGTCATGAATTTACAAACTTATTGGATTTTAAAGAAATAACTTTTTGCAAATCCAGTGGGCCTTGAATTTATGAAGTAATAGATTATCTGACAGTTAAGGCATACTGAATATTCATGGCCTTTCAAGTTACATTTCTGATTTCACCCTGCCCGGAGTATTGACTGTAAACTAGAAGCCCTCCAATATGAGAAAAAGAGGGAAAAAAAAGGTAGATCCTCTAGGTCATTTTATGCACCCTCGAACTGAATGTCATGGTGTGTATCTTAGAGCTTGTTCAACCAGGGAATAGGATAAGAAATAAAATGAGCAGTAGCTGCATTTATGATGGTTTCATAAATATTTCGGATTGATTTTACAAAGGATTTTTTTTAAGGTACACACAAAGATGAATAAGATGTTGAAAGAGCAGAACAGATTACAATCTAGAAAGAACTGAAGAGACATTCTTGTGAAGGAAAGCACTTCTGGTGAAATGTTCCAAAATCAGCAGTTATCTCTTAGATTTCCCTATATGGATTGGTAACCTTACCTATTAAACATGGAAGGTGAAATGAATGAAGGAATATAAAAATTATAGCCAGGTTCAGGGCACTATTCCAGATATTCCTATCTTGGTTGTTAACTTATTGAATTTCAGTGAGGCAATGTTAGTGACAGATTAAAATGCTACAGCAGTTTCGAAATTCCTTCTACATTTTGATGTGTCCAACAGCTCATTGTAGACATAATCTCAGCATGAAATTTCTAGATTTAACAAGTTATTAAATTTTACAGTCAAACTTTGACAAAAAAAACGTGAAATATAAGACAGTACAGTGGAATAAGATATCCTGCAATTAATTAAAATTGAATGACTTGGTTTAAGAACTCTTATTAAAAATAGTTACCTAAGAATGTATATAGTTGTATAAAGTGACAAGGATCAAAATAGTCAAATTTGCTGAAGCTTGAAGAATCACTTTTAACTTTCCAAAGCATAAAAATGATATTATTGTTATAAAGAGCTACATCTCTTTAGTTTTGGACCATTGAGTGTGAATTAGAAAAAAATCACTCTATTTAAAAGGGGCCAATGTACAATGAGTTGTTTTCAATTTGGAAAAACAAGTCGTGGCTAAGTGTTGCGCATGAAATGACGTTATCTTTTACCTTGAGTCCGGAAACAATGAGTCCAGACAAATTGGCACTATTAATTAAGGGTTCAGGAGAGCTCAACATTGAAACAAATCTCGAGTTGTTCCAGCTGTAGCTTAACACAGATCCTGTGAGGGAAATGCAAAGAAAAGCAAGGAAACTCCTAGATGCTAGCTGCATTAATATCTCTCTCTTTGTCCCCTTTCTCTGTAATGTTGCTCTCTTCACTTCTGTGTTGAAAGAGCTGGAAAACTATATTCAAAGCCACTAAAGGAAATAATTCTAAAGCAAAGGAAAAGGAAGGCCTCGGGTCCAACTAATCAACAAGCAGATTAAAGACTGATCAAGGCTGCAGAGATAACAATGTATTTCTATTACAGAATTGAAAAGACTGTGAGAACAACTCATTAATTTGTTATCTGGATTGGTGATATAGAACTGTTTCCCTGACTCTGTTTCTTTACTCATAATATTTGTGTTTTATCTGTTTCTCTTTATCTGTTCCTATATATGGGAATTTTGGTGCACTCTTCCAAGTCAGCCATGGTACCATATAAATATGACAGAGAAAAGGCAAAAATAAGGACATTTGATCATAGCAGGCAAAAACATTGATTAAAAATGTGGTAAACTTTAAGTGAGAAATGCATTTCCTTAAATCTCATGCACCTTCTATTCCATACATTGGATTAACAGCCCTTTCTCTGGGTTAACCATTTCAGTTAAGAGCATTTGACTGCCTGTGCAAAAAGTCGCTTTTCAACCAACAAAAATTCAGTTCTTTCAAATGTTTCAATCTTCAATTTGGTTGATAAAAAAGTAGATGAAAGAAACACCTATTTCCATCTAATTTGCCATCTGCCATCCTGGTAGTCATGAGCTAATAATACTAATGATTTTGTAGACAGATAGTGACCAATCTTTGATAATTAGCCTAAACCAGCCTCAAATTGTGGTGAGGAAAATCACCTGTAAAGGCAAGCTTTGAGAAACATTTGTTAATAGTCATTTGTTGCCCTAAATATGCTACACTTACCATATGTCGTCATGAATACTGGAGAGACTAAACACTTGAAATACGAAAATCTTAAAGTTTTAGGACAAAGTGTTTAAGAAAAAATATTGCAAGTGAGGTTATTAGCTGAAATCTTAATTCCATTTACACAGACTATGTTTCCTATTTGATACATTTTACACACACAAATGATGGAAATTAGGAACAGCCACCCAAAGTTCATCAAAGCTCTCATGACCAAGCAATGTTGCTCCTAATCCTCATTAAAGAACTTGTATGCCATGTTGCAGGCTGGCATTGCAACAGAGGATCTCTTGTAACAGAAATTAGCTAAAATGGGTGAGGATTGCTCATGTTACTTGAAGCCATGTTCAGCTTTTATTGCTCACTTGCTCCTAGAGACTGACAGAGTACTCTAAGTTTGAAGAGGACATGCGAGTCATATCAGGAGACTTTCTGGGCACTTTGTCAAGATTCTACCAAAGCCCTATTGCCATTTATTAGACAAATTTTCTGCTGATGTCACCGAAAGAGATTGAGTGCTGTGCTATTATACTTCATTAAGGATTATATTAGAGTCACTGGAGTTGGTCATGGTCATAAGGATCTTCCTAGGTTCCCATCTAGTCTGGAAGAGAATTAGGAAAGGGAAACGGGTACATGCACAACAGCATCAGCTGCTGGAAGAGAGACATTGAGTCATCAAATTGTGGAGCATACATTGTGAAACATCAACTATTAACACTGACTGCGCCCAAGGGTAAACCTTAGTAGCTATAAGACCTAAGCAGAAAAATACTAAAACTGGGAGAACCAACAGATTCCAGTAGACAGCCCATACTTACAATGCATGTTTTCTGCAATTTGATTTTAAAAAAAACACTTTTGAGTGATGCCTTCCATTACTAGACTTTGGAGCTCTGTTGTCACATGCTTTATCTTCCAGGAGGATGTTCCATCAAGAATGTTGGCATCTGCACTCAGTCCTTTCAGTCACTTCCCTACGCAGAGGACCAAGCAAAGACACCAATTCCAGCTGTACACAGTTACCACATCCATCCTTTATCTAGAGCAGGTTCAAACAATAAAAACAAATCATAACCACTAATACTTATAAATCCTTTGTTCTGGAAGGTGTTGAGTTTCTTGTGTGACATTGCAGCTGCGCCCATAGGCTTTGTGCATGGTGAAGAGACTATGAGGAGTCAGTAGGTGAATCACTCACTTCAGAATTCCTAGTAAGATACAATGAAGTGAAAAGCATATAGCTGGAAGCCTTTAAGACTTCAGAGTTCACTCAGTACATTTTCATATACCTGTAAGCAGCAAAATGAAAATACACACAATGTAAAATAAACCAGTTGTTGCCTGAACTTGGCAGTATTTTATCTGAGAGCAGGTGAGCATCACTTTAGGTGACAGTGGCAGTAGTTTCCTCTGACTTATACAACCTCTACTTCGTAGGCAGATTGAGTAACCAGTGATGGCAACAAAGATGAAAGTGGCGTCAAACTGACTTGCTCCAGTTTAAATGCATGTTGATAAAATGATTGCTCAAAGCCCTTTTAACTTCTGAAGATAAATCAATTACACAGTTCATTTGAGCTTTATTGAGCTATTGTCCTTTCAGAATTACATTTATCTGAGATGCAAATCTTTAAAGGCTTAGAAAGGTAGACTTAGGTTGAGTTGTATGAAACATTAAGAACAAGGAGACATGTTAATTTATACAGTTTTGTTCTGAAGGAGAGTGATATTGAACACAAACGTTAACACGATTTCTCTCTCTAAAGATACTGTCAGCCTTTTGAGTTTTTCAAGTACTTTGTTTTTTATTTAGGTTCATAAAAATGTTTAACAATATAAATAAACAGTATAGAATACAAATGGAAAAGATTAATCTTCGCAGTAAAGATTATGAGAATAAAAACTGGATTTTGTTATTATTGAGTGCAGAAGGTGGGTGCAGATGGCACATGATGAATGGTCTCCATCTGTATCAGATGATTTTAAGATTCTATAATGATGGAAAATTCAGAGAATGAAGATAACTGTTACCTGTCAGATAAACTTTGAAAGATAAAAAAAAAACTTGCAAAACTTTAGATGCAAAACTTGCTAGACTTTAGATGTTTAGGTCATTTGAGTCTTCACTTGAGCAGTAAAATGTACAGCATCTACACAAGACATATACATTGTTTATGTATGATCTGTTAGTTTAGACAATGTTCAGTAAATTTATAACTTGCTTTATTTCTTTTCTTTGCATTAGATTACCCTATTTGCACACAAATGGAGTGCTCAAATGGAGCCTGTTACAACTCTAGCCAACACTGTGATGGAAAGTTGAACTGCAGGGATGGAACAGATGAAAGCAATTGCAGTATGTTCTCCTTTTCTGATGTTTAGATCCTAACTGCCTGACCATACCAAATCATCTATTAAAGTCATTGACATACAGACATAATGAAACACAGGCCATGTCTGAAACAACTTATTATGCCCTCTACAGTTCAGAAAAATGAATAAATTGAATAGCGAAATGGACCTCATCAAAAAAAGTTCTTATCTCCTCAATGAAATTGCTCGAATAGGGTGGATCAATGAAAATGAGAATTGGACGGTTTTTATAACAAGTGGCTGATTCTTTTTATCAGCTTTTTGCACGGGTATTTGCTACACAATATGTGGAAAGCAGGAAAGCTATACATCCTTTCTATAATAATGGTAACTTGTATTACGCTACTTTGTCATGAATCTGCAAATATAGGGGGTTCTGCTTAACATGTGTTCTGGCAACGCAAATTGGCTTTAACGTGACTGGCGAATAGGTGAACATTATTTCTACAACATGAACTTGGGTTGGCTATAACGCGATTCCATCAAGTAGGCATTTCGCTGTCAAGAGCCCTTTGCTAATGATACCTACAGTGTACTCGTACAATGCTGTGATACTGAGAGTCCCAGAGAAATTCTCCCTGTCAGCCTTCATTAAAACTGAAAAGTAAGAATCCAGCAGGTCTGTTATCAGGAAAAGTAGTGTGTAGGGGAGAGTGAAAAACAGTATATCTAACTTATCTTGGAAGGAAACACTGTGAGGCACAGGATCTGGGTACATCAGGAGGCTCCAGCAGCCTATTAAAGTAATTAGTCAGATCATGGTTGACTTATGTTTCAACTTGATTTTCCCACTTTTGCTCCATTTGCCCCGATACCCTTGTGTTGTGGTGTTAACATTTCTGAAGGAGTCTAAATTACCATGGCAACATACACATGTATATGTCATAGTCTGGAACTGTGGATAGTGGTGGTAGAGTCTCCAATGTTCTTTCAGTCACATGGCTGACCAGGAATCTGTCCCAATCTTACGATCTGCTACTGGCAGTGTTGAAAGAATTTGCTGATTGATACTCAATCTTTTTAATCACATTGTGAATGCACCTTCCCTGGCAGTTCTGAGACAGGACTTGAACCTAGATCTTCTTGCTTACAAAGGCTTACACCTTTCACAACCTCAGGATGTTACAAAGAGCTTGACAGCCACTGGAAGTATTTTTGAAGTGCAGTCATTGTAGAAAATACAGCAGCCAATTTTCACACAACACTCTCCCACAAGCAACAATGTGATAATGACCAGACAATTTGTCATTGTGTTCCTGACTAAGGGATAAGTATTGACCAGGACACCTGGGTAATTGTCCTGCACTTTTTGGAAATAGTGAGGTTAGTTGTGTCAATCCGAGAAGGAGCTGCAAAGCCGCTGTCACAGTTGGACCAACCTGTCTGAACAGCTGTTGACAGTAGTGCTATCCTTTGTTACACTTTTTTGAGAGGTCTGCCCCTAGCCCTGCTTTTCCCATAGGCCCAGTTATTTATATAGCATGATTTTCTATAACATGATGTTGTGCTGGAATGCAACTATTGCGTTATAACAGAACCCCCTGTAGTCTGTATTAGGGCTTATCATACACATGAATATTGCCCCTAATCTCACAAGCACATTCTGTTTACTTAGCACTTCATATTTCTTCATTATCTCAAACAGCATTCTCCCATCATGCAGTATAAATATCTGTTTGCCCCTTTCATTGGTATTTATGAACTAGCCTGATGAGTGTAAGATGAAAAGCTTCAACAAGATGTCTTTTTTCAGAAATGCTCAAATTCTGCATGACCGAACAACAATAAAAAATGATATTGACACTTTGTTTCAAAAAAGTGATTGGATTCCTAACTTTCTGCAACAACTGCAGTTTTAATACACTTAATTCATCCAATTTTATTGGGAATTTTAGCTGTTTCATCATGATGAACATTTGAATTATGCTATCAAATGCGGAATGAGGATATTCACTGGCTTATTTCCTGAAGCTTGATGATTACGCCTTCATTCTTGACTGAACTCCCAATGTTTTGTATTTTAGTGAAATAAAATTCACGTTAGAGTAAATTCTTGACAAAACTTTCTATTTCTAGTTTTCTCTTCTCCCTTCCTAAAATTGATGCTCCACCAAAATTGTCATTCTACACCAGTGACAGACACATTAGACGGTAAGTCTTATTGTAGTTTCCCCTCAACTCTCAGTCTCACATTACATACTTTTAAAACAGAGTCTACCGGACAGTGTTTAGAGATGTGAATTCAGATATTATTTTCATTCACGTCATGCTTCACAGGGGTCATTCTGTCCCCCTAGGCCAGAAAATCCAGCATAGTCTGGGGCCTGATTTTATCAAATACTTCAAGATCTTACTGGCAATTCACCTGCCATTAAGCTGTAGGTTGTAGAACTTTAAATCTTAAAAAATTACTGAAGAATTCTGAAAAGTGTATGAATCTCTATTTATTTTCCTCATTTCTTACTCCAAAACTTTCCCTCATCTCTTTACCTTTTGCAGCTCAGAGATGTAACAGTGGTCAGTTTCAATGTGCCAATGCAGAATGCATCCCAGAGATATTTGTATGTGACCACGATGATGACTGTGGAGATAGAAGTGATGAGCAAAAATGTGGTATTGTATTACTTTTATTTTATTCTGTGTTTTATTGTAACCTACTTTGAAAGTAATGTCAATGTGCTCAGCGTAAACTTTTTCTGTATTTTAAAAAAATATTATAGGCTACTTGGATGCTCTACAATTATGGTACTTGGGTAATCTAAGATTTAACTTAATTTATAATTTAATTTGCTCCATTCTGAAAATGCATCTACAAACTCACTAATATTGAAATGTTGTGGCAAGCATTTTTGTGAGATTGAAACCTGATCAGTATGATGTTTCATACTTTTTATCAATATAATAACATTTGAAAAGACTCATTTTCAGCATAGGAACAACATTTTTTCATATGAATTTTGAATTTATTGAGATAAATCAATTTGTATTCAAAAATGAATGCTGGAACATTGGCTATCATGTCAAGTGTAGAAAGATTAAAATACAAACACTTATTTTCTCTCTTCCCAATGTTGAGACTTAGAACAGCATCTGCTGCTTCATCAGCCTGTGTCAGGACATCCTGTGCTATCGAAGTGGTAGAATAATGGGTATGGCGTTGGAATAACATTATAATGCTGCAGAGGCCTGGACGACTTCTGTGAAGAATTCAGTTCAAATTTCAACATGGAAGCTGACAGAATTAAAGTCCAATTAATAAAATAAATCTGGGAAATTAGAATTAGAAGTGGTGAATTGAAATGGCAATTTAAACAAAATCTTTTTCACTACCGTCCTTCAGAATACTTACCCAGCCTGGCCTCTAGATCCACAGCATTGTGGATGACTTGGAACTGTCCTTTGAAATGGCCTAGCAAACAACTCAGTTGTATAAAAGCACAACAGAAAATTGTATATGAGTAAGACAGGACAGGCCACCTGGCATCAATCCATAAACTAGACACAACAAGGTAACTGCCTAATCAACCCAGCAAAGTTCTCTACAATGAGATCTGGGGACTTGTGTCGAGGTGGTGAGAGCTGATCTAGACTTATTAAGCAGCAGTCTGATGTAGTCATATTCACAGGCTGTAAGGTATAATTCAATGTCCAATGCTCCATTGTAATCATGGGAGGTGGGAGTACAGTGTTATATGCTCGGGATTGAGTGGTTCTGTGAATCCTCAGTATTGACTCTGGATCCATTGATTTCTCATGGTAACAGGTTGAGCTTTGGAAGACACTTTCAAGTAGATAGGCCCAATAGATGATCAATCGTAACCTACCGCTGATGTCCCCAGAGACAGATTCCAGTCTTCAGCTCCTTTGATTCACGCCCTGTGATGTAGAGAAGTAACTGAGCCCACTAGGTATAGCAAAAATTATTGGGTTCAGAACAAAGGACAGTTCTGATTCAACCTTTTACTGTAGATCAGAAGTTGCGGACCAGAGCAGGTAACAATGCTAGAATTTCTTCTCTGAGGGGCTTTAATGATGGAGATAGGCTTCTTACAACAACCAATAGTAATGTTATGATCATCATTACTGATAATAGTTCTATGTTATAGATTTACAAAAAAAATGAACAAATTGAGCCCATGTCCCCAGAGTATTAATAGACTGGTGATATGATCATTGTATCACCATCTGCCCAGCAATGAAGAAAATTGCCTTCAACAACAAAAACAAAGTTGCTGGAAAAGCTCAGCAGGTCTGGCAGCATCTGTGAGGGAAAAAACAGAGTTAACGTTTCGGGTCCAGTTCTGAGAAAGTGTCACCGGATCCGAAACGTTAACTCTGTTTTCTCCTTCACAGATGCTGCCAGACCTGCTGAGCTTTTCCAGCAACTTTGTTTTTGTTCCTGATTTACAGCATCTGCAGTTCTCTTGATTTTTATTAAGAAAATTGCCTTAGTATGCCTGGTCCACAAGAAGCAAGAGAGGTCTTATCTGGTCAATTACCGTTCCATCATTCTACTCTCAACAGTGCCAGAAAGCCATGTCAACAAGACTATCAAAGAATCAAATAATTCTTGCTCATCAATAATCTGCTGACTGTAGCTCAGTTTGGCTTCTGCCGGGGTGAGTCAGCTTCAAACCTCATTACAAAAATGGACAAAAGAGCTGAATTCCAGAAGTGAGATGAGAGTGACATTAAGGCAGCATAGGATCCAATATGGTATCAAGAAGCTCATTTAAAACAAAAGTAAATGAGATTTAGAGGAAAAATTCTCTAATGATTGGAATCATTCCTAGCACAAATAAATCTAGTTGTTGCTATTAGAGAGCAATCATCTTAACCTCAGGACCTTGTTGCACCACTTCTTTCGATGGTTTTCTAGGCCCGACCATCTTCACCTGCAGCATCAATTACCTTATTTCCATCATAAGGTCAGAACTAGGTACATTTCCTGATGTTTGCACAGTGGTCAGGACCATTCACAATCCCTGAGATATTGAAGCAGTCCATGTCCACATACAGTAGGCCGTAAATAAAGTTCAGGTTTGGGCTAACAAGTGCTAAGTTCCACATTTGCTACACATGTTGAATCATCAACAGGAGAGAGATGTTCTGGGAGTGTTATTCAAGTCCTCACGCATCAAAGCCATTCCACTGTCCAGAAGGCACATGTCAGGAGTGTAATGGAATAATCTCCACATGCTTGAATGGGTGCAGCTCCAACAATTTTCAAAAGGCTTAACTCCAACCTGGACAAAGGACCTGCTTGATTGGTCCCCATCCATCACGTTCACATTAATTTCTTTTACCACCAAAGCACAAATGCAGCAGCGTGTATCATCTACAGAGAAAGGCAATCAAAACTGTGCACAGTACATGAGGTGTAGTCTCACCTTATTCTCTCTGTTCAACTGTAAGCAAGACTTCCCTATTTTGTTAATAAATAATAACAGGTCCGATCAGATCTCCTGCATCGGTGGTCGTTTGTTTTTATTACCTACTTGTACTCTCCACCTGTCTTGTAATAATGGCCAACATTCCATCTACTTTCCTAATTACTTGCTGTAGCTGCTTGTTTACTTACTGTGATTCACTTTCAAGGACACTCAAACTGCCTTGTACTACAATGGTCATATAGTCTCTTTCTATTTAAATAATATTCTGGTTTTCAATTCTTCCTTCCAAAGTGGACAACCCAACATGTTCCTACAAAATTTACTCCATCTTTGAAATCTTTCTTCATTCACTTATCCTATCTAAGTTCCTGGTGTGTCCCCCTCACAATTTGCTTTTATTTCTGTTATTCTGTCTGGGCAGCCCACTTAATCAGCACCTTATCCATCACCTTAAACATTCACTCCCTCTGTGTTCCATCTGCAAAGTACACTGCAGCAACCCATTGACAGTAACTTTCAAACTCAAGGTCTGTACTATCGAGAAGGACAATGTTAACAGGTGCAAGTGAACAAGTTTTCTTCTAAGTCACACACCTTCCGGACTTGGAAATATATTGCCATTCTCTCATCATTGCTAGATCAAAACCTTTAAATTCCTTACCTAATGGCATTGTGCTGTACTGCACTACTTGGTGGCAGCTTACCACCAACTTCTGAAGGGAAATTAATGATAGACAACAAGGTGAAGCAAATGCGATGTTGATCTTTATTACATGAGGGATGGAGAATATAAGTGGTAAATAAGAGCAAAATACTACAGATGCAGGAGATTTGATTAGACCTGTTGTTATTATTTATTATAAAAACAGGGAAGTCTTACCACATCTGTTCCTGGGGACTTTCGCTTTTCCAACAATGCCCATATCTCACCAATGAATAACAAAATTGCCAATTTCTGTCAATTGGGATAGTTTTACTCTGTTGGTCCATGCATAATAAAATCTTATTTAAATTCCTTTCTGAAAAGGCTGAATATTTCAAAATGTATTTAAAATTAATGGCAAGCCTGTAAAAAATGCACTTAATTCAGGTTGTTTCACTTTGTGGGATTGAGTCTACTGCTTGCACAGTCTCTGGCCAGGGAAAAATATGTGACCAACATTTGATTCTACATAACCGGTTATAAGGAATATATGGGAGTAAACTGAATTGACAGTATCTTTGCTATCCTTTCATCTCCTTCTGCCATTGAGAATGTTTGAGAAAGTAGCTGACAGATGCAGTGATTGACATTTCGATGTATGGCAGCTTCTTTTGAGTATACATTGATTCAGAGTAATTTTCTATGTAAAACATACATTTGTAGTTAAATTGAATAACAGACCCTGAATCAAGACAAATATTTACAGGTGGAAACATACTGTGTTTAGTACTTTCTATTTCCTTTTCTATAGGCAAATGTCAAAAATTGGAGTAATATTTGTCAAGTTCTGTTTTGACCTAAAAATACATACTAACACTCTGAGGGGTCAGTATTTTAACATTTAAGATATTATTACTTTTAATGTTAATGGGGTGATACTTTCCTGTGTTTTACAGTTTATCCAGCCTGCTCAGGAAATTATTTTACCTGCCCCAGTGGCCATTGCATTCACCAGAATTGGCTCTGTGATGGAGATGATGACTGTGGAGATAATGCTGATGAAAAAGGATGTGGTAAGAACGTGGGCAGTCAATGAGTATATAAAAATTAAAGTAAATGATTGAGTGGGATTGGTAAACAGTTGAATGAGAATTTAGAAGTTACCAATTGTGGATACTACCTTGAATTATAAATGGAGCGTTTTGATAATGTTAACACAATGGACTTCATTCAGTATTTGACTGATTACATCATTATTGCTGTCATTGGAGTCCATAGAAAGTATTTGTAGAGAAGATGGGTCTGAGGAATAAACTTCCAAAAAATGTCACCAGACCTGGAACCTGGCAGATTTCACATTCCTGGAATTGACCTACAGGGTTTTCAGGTAGGGTGTGAGCCTCCATGTGACTCTTGGGAAAGTAAGTGAAACACGAAACTTCTGAATTTAAACTTTCATTCTGGCTTTAATGACAGCGTTGGGTTTCCCTGATACCATTGAATTGCCTCAGGTTCAATGAGATTGATGCAGAACAAGGAGTGCTTTTTTCAGTGAAATGGATAGGATGGGAAGCCTCACTGAAGCTATAACTGAAAGGTTGCTGCTTATAACACTTCTAAAAGTGAACTCTTGCAGCTTGATACATGATTTCCAACTTCTTGGTAGTCAGTTCAACTGTCTTACACTTCATACACCTTAAGCTGCATTTCTGTGTTGCCACCCTTCTTCCTCTTTGGCATGAGACCAACTTGTGCAGTTTTAATTTGCACCTCTGATAAAGTATAAGAGAAGTAGCAACACATGGAGAACCTGGACCAGTAGTTGTCTTTTCCTCAGAAGTACAACCCTAAGGGACTGAGTCATTGATGTAATGATTCCTCCTGATTCTATGAACAGAATCTTAACAAAACAGATCCATAAACAACAGAATAGAACTGCAGGTACTGGTGGTGCCCAAAACTCTGTTTATTATTAAAGTGTGATTGGCCAGGGCTGTTTAACTCTGACAGCATGAGCATCTTACTCCCAAATTTCCTCGTCAATCAGAGGTTTGGCAGGAAGACACACTGAATCCGTCAAATGAATCCACAGATTCAAAGAGCTTGAAGGAACTAAGCCCTCTAACACAGCATAGATGAGTAGATTAGCTGTCTTAATACAAATGAGAGTCAGTGCCTCAGGAAGTTCAGGATTGCAGAGCAGGTCATTGCTCACTGCTATAGCCTTCTCACTGAGTAGGAGCTCATAATTGCCAATAGCCACTGAGGTGGCTGTTACAAGGTATTTTCCATGACTCCTCCTTGTTCTCTGCCTCATCCTTGAGATCTATATTCTCCTCTGCAACTGTAGAAAGCAGAGAGTTATGAATGCAAGAAATGGATTGAGTGGAATGGATGGTGACTTTGAGGCAGCATACAAAATGAGTGAGAGGAATGAGTGTAGTTTCAAGATATGTTGTTTTGAGGAATTCTGTTGCAAAGAAATAATGGCCAAGTCAGAATGTGGGGCTTGGCACCTGAAAGTGTTACTCAATTCACCCAACTTCCTGAGGTCTTTGTAAATATTGTAGCACATCTCCAGGTTTAAGGGCCAAAAACCCTACTGTTAACTTCCACTATCAACTACTTCACTAGATCAAGTGACTCATTTTTTCGTCTGCACTTTGTCAAATATCACCTCAATGAGGGTCCTCAGATCACACAGCATGGCCTCCAGATAGAGGTGTGACAAATGAGACAACCTTCCCATGTTTTCTTCCCATTCCTGTGGTTGCTGAAGTTCTTGAATCAATGTACCTCTATCCAGGAAACCTTCATTTGACGGATTCAGTGTGTCTTCCTGCCAAACCTCTGATTGACGAGGAAATTTGGGAGTAAGATGCTCATGCTGTCACAGAGTTAATCAGCCCTGGCCAATCACACTTTAATAATAAACAGAGTTTTGGGCACCACCAGTACCTGCAGTTCTATTCTGTTGTGTATGGATCTGTTTTGTTAAGATTCTGTTCATAGAATCAGGAGGAATCATTACATCAATGACTCAGTCCCTTAGGGTTGTACTTCTGAAAATTCAACCACAAATACACTGGAAACACTCAGCAATCATGCAGCATCTGTGGAGCAGGACACAGATTAACATTGGGCAGAGTCCTGGCAAAGAAGTCCTGGAAAGGTGTGAAGGTGGGGGAATAGTGATGCCAGGATAATAACAAGAAGCTGCATCAGGATGGCTCTCTGCATTTTGGCTGCCTGGAATATTTCCTAACAGCAGGCAGAGACAAAGACTGACCTCTGCAACATGGAGATGGGAAATCATTTAGACCTTACTGAGGGACAGTAAGAGCGGGTTGCCAGCACTTTCCCAGCAGCTGATCAGCCTCTGCCATGTGGACAGGCTGTCATTGTACTGGAGGCAACCACTCTGGAGCAGTCTAACAGGCAGTAAGAACCAGAGGCTCCATTCGCTATGTTTTATCGAGAGATGTTCCCGAAATATGAGGGGCTGGCCTGCTTGATACATTTCGTTATTATTTAGTTTCACCCTTACCTGACTCCTACTTGTCTCCCAAGACTCATCTCTCCTGGTGAGCACAACTGTGGCTTCAGAGTTATCAGCTCTCTGGCAGAGAATATGGTAAGCAGTGGAGTGGGTATACATGCTTCGCTAAAACTGGGGAGCCAAGAATGGATGCTGTGTTCCCCTTCTAGGGGTCATCTTGTTGCCGGAGTAGACCTCTCACAGGTGGTCAGTTCACTCCCTTCTGGTGCTTTCTGGGCTCCTCTAAACCTCCAACCCTGATTCCTTGACCCCAGGTTAATCCTCTTCTCACCAGGATCAGTCAGGCACCCTGGTGAAATGAAGTTAACCTGTACCAATTGACCACTGAGTTCCAAATGGGATAAGGGAATTCCTGACTTGAGGATTCCTTGACTTCAGCCATAGTTTCCACATATTCTGAGATGAGCAAAATGCCATGATAAACTGTAATCCTGAAAATCTGCAATTTCAAAAAATTGTGCTGGTAAGTTATGAAGCAAATTAATTGAATACCATATCTATACTGGCACAGTGAATATATTCATATTGTAGTGATTGCACAAGATCAGCCAGATAGACCTCAGAGAATATGAGTTCCCTGACTGGGGCTGTTAATCTGGTCCAATCAGGGTGTCCTGGTTGACCACGCTGAGAGCTGGATCAGTGTCAAGGACTCTCCGTGTGTAAATAAGGGGTGACTTGGTGATGGGATAACGGCCTCAGTGGAGTTATTTCACATGTATCCCCAGCTTTTTTCTTTGGAGACATGTTATTTCTGGTGCATTTGAGTTTGTTTTTCAGGCTCAGCCTGATTTACATAGTGTATTTTTAGATGGTTCAAAAGTTTGCTTAAACCAAGACATGTTTCGTGTTGGGGCCCTGCAGATTTCACAAATATATTTCTACTTACATTTTCTGACCAGAAAGGAGGCAACAGGAAGACTGCTTACCAGGTGAATGGACTTGTCCAAACTCCCGGGACTGTATCCCTGTAAACAAATTGTGTGATCAGATCAACGATTGTTCCTTTGGTGAAGATGAAACAAACACCACAACAGGAAACAATTGCAGTGAGTAATCTGAAGATATGGGGAAAATATTCATCCTTACCATCTGGGCATTAGTCCGATTATAGACTTTAAGATCATAATCATAGTTCAGAAGTTCATAATCAGAAGATCATAAGAAGTAGGATCAGGAGTAGGCCATTCACTCAGTACTTTGAGCCTGCTCCACCAGTCAATAAGATCAGGGCTGATCTGATTACAGCCTTCTCTTCCCCTTTCTGCCCATCTCAAATTCAATTGCTTTTCTAGCCTTTAGATGATTTTTCTTGCCAAATTGTTTGCAAATCTCCATGGCCACAAGCCTGGATGATGATTTGATTTGGCAGTATTTTACAGCCATTTCTCAGAATTCAGTTCTGCCCCAGATAATATTTTGTGTAGAACAGTGTTTCTCAACCAGCAGTGAGTGTGCCAGTGGTGAGACACAAGTGCCAACTAAATGCAGTGGCCGATTTCTCATTAATAACTCAATCATTAGCTTGTCCTGTGTTTTACAATTTAGCAATTAAAAATTATCTCAGCAGAATCAATGCAATTTTTAATGTATTTAAATATTTCCATGAATGACATACAATACTGAAACATGTGTAAATATAAAAATACACTCTTTGGAAAAAGTGAGGTTTTGTTTTTCTCATGGAGGGAACTGGAGTTTTTGATGAAATAGCATATAAGATGCAAAAGGTTGAGAACTGCTGGCATAGACAAATTTTAAGTTAAATTAACTGCAGTGCTGTCGATTAGGGAAGGACAAAACCCATGGAGCTTCTATTCCTAATGCTTATACAGTAACTTATCCTGGAATGCCATTCAAAATATCATTGGATTAGATTTTGCTGTCTTCCACTTGTATATAGCTTGTCAATAGTGATTGGGCGAGGCTTTATCAGGTAACTGCTGCTTATAGAACTATATTCTAGTAAGTATCTTCAAAAACAAAGGGGAGGGACAGAAATTGGAGACTCAATGATTTTAATTTAGATTGCCTTATGTCTGAAAAAAAGTTCTGCTAAAAGTATTCTGCCTATCATTTTAATATTAAATCAGAGTATTACAGAATAAATCCATTGTTCAAGTCTGGCTCTCACTTTCGCAGATTTTGTGCATGCTGTTATCTTCTAGATAGTAATCCTCAGTTCTTTAGAAATCCAGTAGAGGTTTGTACAAAGTAGTATTCCACTCTCTGCCAGTACATTATAAAAATGAATCACTCACGTTTTAATGTCCATGTAGCTAACTACTAAAAGCTCTATGAATTTCCTGGGACTAATGGAAAGAACTGAGGTCAAGATTTCAGGCTATAAGACTATTACTGTAATGAACAAAATATAATTAACATAAGCTAAAGACCACATATATTTAGGCAATTAATACATCAAACTAAACAAAATGGCTTGTTTTGCATTAACCAGCTAACATTAAAATAAAGAGATAACAAGCTGTAGAGCTGGATGAACACAGCAGACCAAGCAGCATCAGAGGAGCAGGAAAGCTGACGTTTCGGGTCTGGACCCTTCTTCAGAAATGGGGGAGGGGAAGGGGATTCTGAAATAAAGAGAGAGAGAGGGGGAGGTGGATAGAAGATGGATAAAGGAGAAGATAGGCAGAGAGGAGACAGACAGGTCAAAGAGGCGGGGATGGAGCCAGTAAAGGTGAGTGTAGGTGGGGAGTTAGGGTGGGG